AGGTCAGGGCATGTGCCTGGATTGCCAGCTCAGTCCCCAATGTGGGGTGTGCAGGCAGTAGCTGATCAATGATTCTCTCTTATCATTGATGTTTCTATTTCTCCCTCTCCCTTCCTCTCTGAAATCAATAAAAATCTATATATATAAAAGGCTAAGTGACTGTTCAACCTTCCGACCAGTAGCTATGACGTGCACTGACCATCAGGGGGCAGATGCTCAACGCAGGAGCTGCCGAGCTGTGGTGACTTGGCAGCTGCAGTTCTTAGGTCACACACCAAGAACCAGACAGGAGGGGGCCCGATTCCGGGCTGTGTCACTGAGAACCACCCTCTAGCAATCCGGGACCCCTCATGGGATATCAGAGAGCCCGTTTCAGCCCGATCCCTGCAGGCCAGTGATCCCACCAGTGCACAAGGGACCCCACCAGTGCACAAATCCGTGCACTGGGCCTCTAGTATATTATAAATAAATATTGACGGGGGACCTCAGGCAACGCCCCCCCGCCCTGGCACCGGGGTAGGGGACCTGAGGGTACGCCCCCATGCCCAGCACCAGGCTGGGGGACCTGAGGCTGTGCCCCCAAGCCCAGCGGGGCTTGATGGGGAAACCCAAGGCTGCACCCCTCACCCAGCAGGGCTTGACGGGGGACATGAGGCTGTGCACCATGCCCAGCACTAGGCTGGGGACCTGAGGCTGTGCTCCCAGCCCAGTGAGGCTTATCAGGGGTGGGGCCAGCCGGGTCTGGATCTCACACAATGGGGGTGGGACCAGCCAGGTCTGGGTCTCACGCAATTTTGTGGCGCATGTGGGTGGACGGGGACTTGACTCTGGGTCCCGCAGCATGCCTCAGACTGACCAGAGGAAGATTTTCATATACATCTTACTAATTTTCTTTCACCTCTAACACTTCTATTATAGAGAAAGGGCAAATAGCAATATTAAAATATTTCCTCTAATTAATTCCCTTTTAATGTGCATGAATTTCATGCCCCAGGCCACTGGTGTAATTTATAAAAATATTGGGGGTGTACTCAAAATTATTTCTGATAGGCTTCTGAGTCAAAAAAGTTTGCAGATCACTTCGTAAGTTATATAAATGTCTAAGTACTATGCTGAACACCTGAAACTAAAATAATATTGAATGTCAACTGTAATTGAAAAGTAAATAAATTTCCAGACCTACTGGTGCCTAGGGCTGTGCTCCAGAGAGCAAGACTAGAAGGAAGGACACCGTGGCAGAGTCCTGAGCCACCCGGAAGCAGAACAGAGAATCTGGACTGGCTGCTGGGGGTCAGGGAGGCTGTGAGAAAGGAAGTAGGAGAAGGCAACACAGATAGGCTGCAGGTCTACTTGCCTAGAAATCAGCCAAGTGAAAAACGTATTTGTATTGTATTAACTAATCTTAAGAGCGATAAAGTTTGCAAATTTATACAAAAATCAAGATTAGCATTATTTTATTTTTATAAGAGCTTGCACATATTTCACATAGAGTAACCTAAGCAAAGTCACGTACCAGGGTTGGTAGCCATACAGTTGTCATAAGAAAAGTTGACTTTCCTCATTTTATTATCTGGGTAATTTTTCCCAGATAAATAGCCAACAGTTTTTTTCTAAATTGTAGATTTCTTCTAAGGTACAAGGCTGCAATATCCTCAATTCTGTTTGAAGAAGCTAAAGTGGGAATCCAGAATGTTATTTATATGCAAAATACTGCTATCCCATGCTCTTTCAGAAAAGGATTTTTGTTACCAATCCACCTCTATCATTGGGCCCAGTCGTGTTTTTGAAACAACTGTTCTGCTGTTTTATTTTGTTTGTTTTTTTCCGTTAAAATGTTACTTTAAAATACCAATACATATTTATTCCTTTGAACTAGGACTGCCTATTTCTACCAGCATTTCTCCAAGGGTTGAACTTCACAACAGTCTGGTTGTATGGCCTTTAATATGTCTGTTGTGTTATTTACCTCTTGAAAAATATGTATACAAGTATCTAATCAAACACTATTGATTATATTACTTATTTATACATGGTATTTTGTGAAGTTGTAGCCGAACAGAAATACAGGATATTAGATTTGAATTCTTTGCCTATAGACCTTCTTTTTGAAGAACTCAGATACATTTTAAAAATAGCCCAGCTGGCATGGCTCAGTGGTTGAGCGGCGATGAATCAGGAGGTCTTGGTTCGATTCCCAGTCAGGGCACATGCCCAGGTTGTGGGCTTGATCCCCAGTGTGGGATGTGCAGGAGGCAGCCAAGCAGTGATTCTCTATCATCATTGATGTTTCTCTCTTTGTCTCTCCCTGTCTCTCTCCCTCTTTTCTCTCTCTCTCTCTCTCTCTCTCTCTCTCTCTCTCTCTCTTTTCCCTCGTCCTCTCTGGAATCAATAAATATATATTTTTAAAAATAGATTTTTTAAAATATTACTATAACCTGGCTCTAGTTTTAACTGAACTAAAAGTTGTGCCATTTACAATGGTAAATTCTTCTGAAGTCTTCCCCATCATCCTTTGCTCTCTTTCACTTGTCCTGTTCATGTGTCTCTGCTATGGCCAACCATGGGCTATCAACCCCACTGGGGCATTTAATGAGCATGCCTTGCAATGTTCTTCTTTTTCATTCAGCAGCTGACATAAGCCACTTAACCTGACTTCTGCCCTCACACAATACTTCTGATCCTTATTTTTCTCGACTTGCTTTTTACTTTATACTTCCGAGTCTATAAGCCTGACTGCAGTTTAAAACTCTATTTTACAGTGAATAGCAATTGAAATTTTCTTATAGGTCTTCCCCGGCCCCCCGCCCCCTCATGAGGAAAGGCCAACTGATACCATTAAATATGAAGTTTGCAGGTTAGTTTCTTGGTTGAACAGTACCTTTGGCATTCTAACAAATCACCTAGCTGAAGCATTTAAATATTTTGGCTTATCTGAAGGACATTTTTTTCTCTTGTTCCCTGCTTCTCACTTTCTCCAGAGGTCTCTCTGGTCACATTCCTACTGACACTGATCTCCATGCTCCTCTTTAGAATCCATTCTGTTTTTAATCTGGGACTTGAGTATCACTTTTGACTGATATTCCCTCCTCTCACTTTTAAATGAAAACACCTGGGCTTCTGTAATTATTATCGTCTCTTCAGCTATACTATCAGTTTCTTTCCGTACTACTAGTATAGTGAGATCCAAACCCCTTTCTCAGCCAATGACTGCCCCTCTCCTACATGGCCGATAGTTTCTGCTAACCAAGGGGCTTGTTCCATGAGCTTCTCAAGATGTTCTAGTGTTACGGGTTCCTTCCAGTGTTAGGACAAGGGCAATTCAGTCCACACTAAAAGGCATTCGTAGCTTTCTCAGTGAAGTGACAAGAAGGGAAAACAAAGCAAAGACGTTTCTGGACTAATCTCAGCAGCAAGCAGAGCTGCCCAAACTCTCCTCTAAAATAGCCCCAAAAGCCGAAACCGGTTTGGCTCAGTGGATAGAGCGTCGGCCTGCGGCAAAAAAGGTCCCAGGTTCGATTCTTATATATATAAAATAAAATAGCCCCAAAAGAAAGGCACTTGAGCAAAGCCCCCAACATTGCATCCCTAACCGCCCCCCCTTCCCCGAGGGTGGCATAAGCTGCCCACTGAACACTCTGGACTTTTTTGTTTAAGTCTTCCCAAGTTTTACCTTTAAGCCACAGTATATCCTTGTTGACTTAATATAAAAGTAAAAATTAAATTGCTTGACAACAGGTAAAATTAAATGCTGGGCCTTGTTTATATTGTGACTTCCCTTTCACATACCTTAGTTTACTACTATGGAAATTGGCAAATCTTAAAGAGAATTTATGAAATTTGATGGAGGAGAAAACTCTTCTAGTGAAATCTGGCAAGAAATGACACTTTGTAGATCTGGCTAGTTATAAACTATCTTCTTGTAGGTGAACAGAAACAAAAGAATAATCAGTAATTGTTACTGGAATGTTTGTCGAGTTGGGAAAAAATCCTGTTTTTACAGATCATTATGTCTACCTCTTCAGAAGGGGGGGGGGGGAAGAGCCTATGATTTCTATAAACAAAAAGAATGAGACACTCAGAAATGTGCAACCCTGGCATAACACAAGAAGTAATAGGATACAAACAAAACAAAACAGACCAAAAAGCAGAATTCACAGCGCTTTGTTGTGTTTTGCTACAAGCAGGTTAGAACTCACTCGCTGTAGCCTTAAAATGGAGCAGCCTGTTTCTAGGCTGCTGCCCGTGAACAGTCACACATGTTCACTATTATTAACTCCCATGCTAGATGCGAGAATTGGGAGGCATTTTCAGACAGTGTGTTTTATTAATTCACTGTGATGTCTAAGAAGTTACTCAGCCCTCTTGCATTAGCTATGATTACAACAATGTTTTGGTAACAGCTTCATCATGGTCTCAAAGATTTTCATTGCAGGAGGTCAGATTGATTTAAATAGAGTCACTGTTCTAACCAACCAAGCTAGACATGTCATAGGGAAAGGCCAGCTGGCTGCTTAGGCAGGCCTCAGGGTATCATTGCCTCACTCAAGTCACATTTTCCAGGGCTCATTCCTTGCCTTTGCAAGTCCAGAAACTTTATTTTGTCAGGGTGCCCAGAGTTGATCTTACTCAAGGGACAAAGCTTGTGCTAACCCAATGCACAAGAGGCCAGTGTGTAAACTAGAATACTAATTTGCTCATTTATATTGAGAAAGGGAGCTATCAAAGGGCCTAGAAACATTTGATATGTGGCCTACATTTTCCTTTCTCTGTAGGAAAGTCTACATGGGAAGCCCATTATTATCCTTTCAGTTCAACAGACATTTAGTAAGCACCTAAGGTACAGGTCATGTTGATCCCAAGGATGTTTTTGCATAATAAGCACTTTAATTAGAATTATGGGAACACTGAGTTGTCATAGAGACATTATTTTCCAAAGGAAACTACATTAAGTCCATTTATGCTTTGATCGACTTTTTAAAGTTTGTTCTTCTGATTGGCAGGTCCAGCCTTTTAGGAGAGACGAATACCTACCTGCCTGATGGAATTAGCCATGAAGATCACCCAATAAGCACATTCAACACAAAGCCACCTTCTAAATATGGTCTTAACCCAGAGCTTCAGAGGAACCTGATGACCTGATGAACAGGTATGCAAATAGTTGTGTATAATGAGCATGTGCTCTTTACCACTAGATTCTCCTATCAGGGAGTGATCTAAACCTTGGAGTCTTCCAGAGCCAAACTGGGCATCGAGGCTACAGGACCCCCCACTACTCGATATCAGGACATTTCTAGGCCAAATTCTTCTTTAAAACCTTATAGCTGGCTTAACCTAACATGTCCCATTTCCTGGTATTCTCACTACAGGCCCAGCTCTACCTTATCCTGGTCCTCTAGGTTGGTCCATGCTTTTCTTCCTGCCCAAACTTTCTACTTCATCTTCTACTTCCAATTGGAGTGGAGGATGAGAGCCAGACCATCACTCCATCCTCCTGAAGAACTTCTGCTCTGAGACCCAAGAGAGACTACACTGCCCCCTTTCTCTTCCGTTGCTGTCAGTTAGCAACTTCACCGTCAACCCCTTTTTGGTCCCCCATAAACTGTTCACTGTTTTTCTCTCTACCCCAATATGTCTATGGTCTTCCTTGATGTCAGAGGGGCATACGCCTTCTCACTGTTCCCCATCTCCGACTTTGACATCTCCTCATGTTTTCTGTCACAGAAAAAGGAAGCATCAAATAGGGAACTCCCCTGTTTCCCACCACTATGCCCACAAATGTATATGCAGCCACATGCATGCTTTCCTTTCCTTCGGCCACAGTGCGATAAATGTTCTTCATCTTGTCCCTCTGACGGATTCCTCTGGCAGTGCTCTGTGTATCCCTTTTGACATTGGAGGGACCGCACGCCATCAATTCCCTTTCTTTCTCCTGTGTCTGCAGCAGTGGCCTCTCTACTGTTTTGACTATCAGCATTTACCATGTCCAAGACCCTGGCTACTATTCTTTCTTCCCCATCTGGTTTGAAGCAAACTTTTTTTAAATAAAAGATCTTTTAGTTATGAGTTATTTAATTCTTTCACTTGTCAGGACTTGTATGCTTCTCTGTAACAAATTTTCTTGTTTTAAACAGACTTGTTTTAAGTGCTGCAGCCATGCTCATCTGAAAATTTATTATGACTTTTAGAATTCAAATATACAGGTTCTTAATGTTCAGCATTGTTTTTTCTTTAAACTTTTAAATTATGAAATATACAAAAAGTACAAAACCTAAATGTATAGTTTAATGAATAATTATATAACAAACACCCATTTAACCACCATTCCGATTAAGAAGTTACCCTCCACCCACCCACACATGTGTCCCTTTTGGATCGTTATCTTCTCACCCTTCTGGAGGTGACCACCATTCGAATTTTATGATAATAATTACACAGCTTTTCTTTATGAGTTTAACTCTTTCTTTGCCCATCCAGGCCCACTCTTTTCTCTTCTCTACCCTGCTCAGTATACTGGGAAGCTAGGCTGTATGAGCCATAGGGTGTCCACAAAAATATATACATACTTCGCTACATGAATTGATGTATTGTTTTTAATGATCCAAGTATTACGTTTAGGGCTGACAAATGATTCTTGATGTTTGCAATTCCATGACTTTGCATTATCAGCAGTGCCTGGACCAAAAGTCACCAATCTGAAAACAGGCATTAACAAACAAAATTAATCATTTCTGTAGATTCTTTTAAATTTTGAAAATGAACTATATGTTAATAAACCTTGACTTTATAATCATTCAAAGTGTGTATACATTTCTTTGGGACACCTTGTATAGCAACGGGCTCCTTCTTCTTTCAGGCTTTTGGTTGCATTTAGTCAACAGGGAGGCCCAAGGGAGCAAAATAAGATAGGATATTTCCCTCTCCTGGTGTCATCCCTACCAAGTCTCTCCAAGGGCTAGCGGGGCTGGATTTGTCACCAACTGTATTCATCAAGGTAAGTCACAGAAACAGAACTACAGTGTTTCTCTGGCTAACCCTGATGAATATATAAACACTAGAGGCCCGGTGCACGAATTCGTGCACGGGTGGGGTCACTAGGCCTGGTTGGTGATCAGGGCCAATTGGAGCCGTCTCGCCGAGTCCTCATTGGGGCCGGGCCAATCGGGGCTGGGCCGATAAGGGCCTGCTGACTAGGGAGAAGGGTGGGGGGAGGGACCACAGGAGGTTGGCCAGCTGAAGAAAGGGACCAGGGGGAGGGACTGGCTGGCAGGAGGGACCAGGGGAAGTTAGCTGGCCGCCGGAGGTTGGCTGTGGGAGCTCACTGACCACCAGGGGGCAACTCCTGTGTTGAGCATCTGCCCCCTGGTGGTCAGTGCGTGTCATAGCAACTGGTCTAATGGTCAAATGGTCAAATGGTCACTTAGGCTTTTATATCCTATATAATAAAAGCCTAATATGCTAAGCGTCCGGTCGTCCAGTTGGCTGCTCAACCAATCAAAACATATGCTAATGATATGCTAAGACCTCTCAACCGCTCACTCTGACATGCACTGACCACCAGGGGGCAGTTGCTCTGACCGGTAGGTTAGCTTGCTGCTGGGCTCCCCCCGATAGGGACTGAGTGAGACAGGGCAGACATGCTCTGGAGTCCTCCTGCAGCCCTCCTGGCTGGCCAACCTCTCGCATCCCTCCCTGGCCCCAATTGTGCACAAGTGGGGTCCCTCGGCCTGGCCTGTGCCCTCTCGCAATCCAGGACCTCTCGGGGGATGTCGGAGAGTTGGTTTCGGCCCAATCCCGCAGACCAGGACGAGGGATTGGGCCGAATTCATGCACCGGGTCTCTAGTATTAGTATATAGAGATAGACTTGACATACAAAATTTTGTAGTGTGTATTTTATATGACATATACCAAACAAAATAAGCATTGTTGAAAGTTTTCATGATAAACTCAGAGTTTCTGGTTAGGTAAGTTTGAGAAAGAGAGAAATTTAGTGAAAGAAAGATTAGAGTTTTGAAAATCTGTTAAATGATTAAAGGAACAAGCAGGGAGGGGAAGACTTAATTTACGTTTCCGACCTAACGCAGAGGATCTGCCTGAGGCCTCTCTGAGGCTGAGCTGTGGAGCAGTTCCTGTAGGAAGGATGAATCCTCTCTTGGTTGGAAAACATCGTAGCCTAAAGGAATCAAATGGGCCATCGAAGAATTTGGTACTAATCATCCTAAAAGAGGTCTGAGGAATGGATTTTTTCCATGAGGGGGATAAGATCAAATGGAGGTGCTTCAGGAATCGGTGAACCCCCAAACATTACAGAAAACGTTTTGCCTCTCCTCCTTTTCTTCCTCTGTGCCTTCCTTTTTTCCTTACAGAAATATAATAGTAAGGAAATAGATAAATGTTTCTATAATATTAAAAATAAATCTGGGAAAGTTTCTGAGTAATAGGAACTTTAGACTATGTTTGAATAGAAACCATGGACAAACACTTAGAAATACAGTAGCCTGGGAACAGGTTTTCACTAACTCTTGTGTTGTTTCAGATTTAAATTAATGTTTGTGTGTTTCTTGACAGTTATTAGCTGTAAAAAATTATTTAAAATGAAAAGACTTCTTACACTGTGGTAAAAAATTGGATAACTATTAGATTACAGTGAAATTCAATCTAGTCTACCGTCACTCAAATAAATGTGTAGTGTTGGGTTCAAAGCAGGCTCTCCATAAATACTCAATTAATTTTCGTTTTACAAAATTGTATTAGGGAAACATACTTCATAAACATTATTACCAGCGGACCTTTATTTGACTTTTTTTTTTAAATATATTTTATTGATTTTTTACAGAGAAGAAGGGAGAGGGACAGAGAGTCAGAAACATCGATAAGAGAGAAACATCAATCAGCTGCCTTCTGCACGCCCTGCAGTAGGGATTTGCCCGCAACCAAGGTACATGCCCTTGACCGGAATCGAACCTGGGACCCTTACGTTCGCAGGCCGACGCTCTATCCACTGAGCCAAACCGGTTTGGCCCTTTATTTGACTTTTAAAGAAAATGTTAAGCATTGGCTCTGGCCATAATTGTAAAACTGAAAAAGTTGAGAATCAGTGACCTTTTTATTCTGACAAAACCATTAATATATTTATAAAATGCTCATTGACATGCTACTAACATGAATGAATTCATGATTGAAATATTTAATAGTATATATTTATATGAACTGTATTATGAGGGCTAGTTTTATATCTCTACTGCCTTTTTTATTAATTGAATGGAAACCCATATTTTATTTAAAACTATTTCTTATAGATTAACAACATAATTCTATACATATGAGTCTAAACAAAATAATTTTTAAATTAAATTATTTTGTTAAAAAAATTATTATCTTCTGCCAGCTGTTTCATATTAGTCTGTTTCTGTTTTGATTCCCCAAATCTATTTGTTATTATTTTAGACTAGCAGCTGTGACAACCATGCATCTGTCACATGTTCCAAGATAATCTAGTACACAGGACAAATAGATGGAACAAATGATTAGCCACAAAAATAGAAACCCAAAAGGGGGTCAGTTAGAGATTTATCTTCCACCAAGAGAAGTTATACATTTTATAATATGCAAGCATGAAAAATACTGCATTCAAGTGCTGCAAATGAAAAAAAAAATTAGAGAATAATGAAAGCTATTTCCAAGATTAGAACCATCAGATCTCTGCCACACTTTTTCACTTACACCAAAATAAGTTTAATGAGACTGTATCTCTGTGTGTCTTTCTTTGTGCGTGTGTTTCTATTGTGTGGAAGACTGTCTTTTGTCCATGTATTTGTGTCTCTCTGTGCACATCTGTCAGTCAATATTCGTCTATCTGTTGTATCTTGGAGGCAGGATCCAGAAAGTGGGAAAATAGTGGTATAAAAGAAAGGATTGGCCTGGTCGGTGTGGCTCAGTGTTGAGCATCAACCTATGAACTAGGAGGTCACCATTCGATTCTCGGTCACGGCACATGTCTGGATTGCATGCTTGATCCTCAGTGTGGGGCATGCAGGCGGCAGCCAATCCATGATTCTCTCTCATTATTGATGTTTCTATCTCTCTCTCCATCTCCCTTCCTCTCTGAAAACAATACAAGTATTATTTTAATAAAAGGATTGAATCCA